ACATCATTTTCTTAGAGATGTTTATTATGCGACCAAGAAATTCTGTGAGATATGGTTTGCATCAATGCATATAATTAGATTTTTCAAATAATTTTCTTAACAAATCTTTTTTGTTTTTAACACGAAAAGGTTTGTAGTACATTGTCCTTTTTATATAATGTAATATAATCTGATGAAGCTCATTGGAAAACGACTGTTTCTTGACACACGACTCTTAACACTGGGGAACATCTAACTCTTCTACGGTTTCTGTAAGATGGTTAGTGTTGAAAAGGCTTATCACGAACCAATTGCAATGTAAAGCTCAATCATCAATGGTTTGCAACGCTTTTCTAGCGTTATATGAATATTACAATTGAATGATTTTTCAAGAACAGTTTATGACTTTCGCATGAAATTTGTTTCCCTCCCGAATAGATGATAAAACACAAAATTTTGAAAGATTTGAACACTGATTATTTTGTAGTAATTTATACATATTTTTTGTCCTTTGATAAAACAAGGGAAAGTACTAGTGCGTGCCGTGAGCCCGAGAATATATGCATTAAAATAATAAATCCCAACAACTTTCTGTGTAGCTTTACGAGCATCCTAAATGACTTTACGCTCAAGTGGTTCATTTTACTATCTCTCCGAAACCTGAAGATCACAAAATTTAACGACAGTTGTGGGAATTAGCTCAAAATAAGCTCAGGGATCTACGTTTATTTAAAGAGACAAGAGTATTCTTTATAACGATGTTTGTTTGTAACACTTTATGTGGACAAAAAATGTATTGTGCTTGTAACTCCCTCTTCCGAAACAGCTGTGCAAATTAGCACAATATCGATATTAAATCCTAAAAAATTGTTGTGGATCATTATTTGCACCTAGGTGAAACTATTTTCAAAGTATATTTACCAGTAGCATCTTATTAAAGTGCATATAAGTAAGCATAAAGTAAACAATCGCTAAAACAACTTCGTAAAATATTCAGGAGCTACGCATATTTAGAGAAAGGGGTTGTCGCAAATTTGTTTCCTCTAATCACAAATAGTAAGAAATCTGAGTATAGTTTAGTAATTGTATTCAGAATTTTCGCGCAAAACTACACAAGGGCTATCTGCACACAGCCGTTCCTAATTTTCAACTGGTAGACTAGACATATTTTACAGCACATATGTGTAAGAATTGTGCTTTTAGCGATAAAAGTAATAAATTTTGCACACAGATCGGGCATGTCTTAATAAATATTTGTAGCTACAGGGCCACTGCATATTTGTTCTATGAAGAACAGGCGACCATTTAAAAATGGCCACTATTGGTTAGTAGCGAAATTATATATATTCTTCTTCTGAAGAAGAATAGTGAACTATTCGAAAGCGCTCGAGTTTTGGGTCTCGTTTGAAGACCATTACAACTTTTGTGTGCGATCCCGTGTGCTAATTTCTTGACCAGAATGTGTATCAAATGTTTAGGTTGCAAGTTTTAACATTGATACCAACCTTTATTCATTTTGGCATGTCAAACAAGCTCAAAAAGTGACTTATGCATCTTAGTTATTAAGATACACTGGCAATAATGAATTATTTAGTACACAAACAAACTTAAAAAGTACACATTTCTGTCTCAACTAGTGAATCTATTCAAAATCACATAGTCCACTGCACTGGCAAAGAGCAGAGCACATGAGTGTGGCTTTGATGTATTTATACTGCTCTCTGGGACTCTTCTGGCAACCGCAGCAAAGCAACTGGCGATATACGTAGCCTCTAGAAGAGCTGTCCACTTCATAACCCAGTCATCTTTGTCATTCTTATTCTATCCCCATTCACTAGGAGGTGGAAGCTCAGGCATAGAAATCATCACCTGCGCCCAGCAGTGAGCAACCTGGTAGGTGGCCCTCTTGGTGTGAAGAGCAGATTCCGACTGTTGTTGACATGCTCTTGGCTACTAGCTCGTTCATACAAGAGTACAACAAAGCGTTCCAGTGTACCCAGCCAGTCATCTACAGACTCAAGTCTAGGATCAATAGTGTGTAAAGTGCTATTATGACCTCATGAAAATACTTCCGGGTATTTAATAATGTGTTGTTGTTTTTTTTACCTCTGCCTCCAAAGGTTGACACTGTCACACTCACTGAAGGCGTAGAACATGGGCAGGGCTGGAAACTTGTCAGGGCCTAGTGTTCTAGCCATCTCATGAGCTGCCAAGAATGTGAAGATCCTCCCTGTGGCAAAAGCAATCCACAGCTCAGTGATTTTAAAGTGCTGGATTGAGGTCACTACTAGAATTAGTATATCAACATCTTACTAAATCCTTGCTGCACACCATCTTGCACATGTAACAGGGTGCATGTGTCTGTCTCCTCATGTGTGCATGGAGCAAAATCAAAGATGCCTTTGGGCTGAGCACAGAGTACACCTTTGTGATATGCATTGATGACTTGACACTCAGTTCCAAGAATTGGTACTCAAGAAGAAGAACAACTCCTTCTGTATTTGTTTGTTTTATTTCTTTTCTTTTAATTTGCATTTCATGGATTCGACTTTTCAGTTTGGTCAAGTGAACACGCTCAGTCCCAAGCTGTTCCAGCCTGGTCTGGTACAGATTTGCTAGGTTGTTCAGTTTGAAAACGAATGCAATTTGACTCTCCATACGGGCCTCCTCAGTACAGGGCGACAAATGAGCAGTTTCTATGTCGTGACTATTGACAACCTGTTCTTTACATGTATTTATTGTTCTCGCTTTATTTAGAAATAGACCAAGCACCGAACATGGTGTTTAGCCTATTGAGCTATTAAGTATCCTGCGTATCCTGCAGTCACTTTAGCTAACAGAGGCTCGTCCTGTACTTTGAAGGCACATACCTGACCTGACAAGTTCAAGTGTCGAGGCCGTATGCAGAGCTTCCCCAGTTGCATGTCTGTCACAGAAAAAACACTTTCAGTCCATGGAGCAGTGTGTTCCTACCTTTAACAGGTGTGCATCTTGAAGACATTAGTATTTTTTTATGGGTATTTTCCTTTTTTTGCTTAGCGAAGCTTTATTTTGCTGAACTTCAGTCTACAGAAGTTATACCATTTGGCATGTGATGTCGGAAAGTTGACATGATACCCTCACCATTATCTAGTCGTGATATATCTATTATGTTTGACTAGAAACCGATGCTGTAGAAACCAAGGAGGTTTTTCAGCAATGGTCTTGTAGCCTGCTCCATCTGTGCCACGCCTTGAATCGACTGGTCAGTGAGACGCCTCATATGTATTCTTCTAACACAGGGCACATTTTTCCCAGTGTGTCACGCATCGTATACTGAGGTACTAGGTTTTATATGCTATCCAAGCCTTCTGGAATGAATGAAGATGGCCAAAGTATATCAGATAGCAGACACTTAAAAAGAAACAAAATGTAGTTAGAAGACAGTAATGAAACATACTTTGTCATTATTTGTAAGGTCAGCATCGTGCCATTTGAAACATTAAAATCCACATACGACAGAATTACACCCTAAGTGGCAGGAAGTGGCAATGATTGCTTACTAAAACAGAAATATCGAAAAAGGAAACTATGATATTTACAAAAGATAAATATGTCGTACGTAAAATCTCGAAGTGGTTACTGGCGTCCATCTTGTAAAATGGCTGCCATGGCAGTCATAAAACAAATCTGCGATGACCCTATAACCAAAATTTGTATTAGGGCGTGCCCTCATTGTGTGCCAGATATCATTCTTTTATCGTCAAATGTATAATACTTTCATATTTTTCACATATTCGCTGGACTAGGAAGGCAACTATTAAACAGCACCAAACGACAACTCTTGTACCACATCCACGTGCCAAAGTGCGGTCGCGGGTTCGGATCACCATCTCACCAAACATGCTCGTCCTTTCAGCCATGCAGCGTTATAATGTTACGATCAATCTCACTATTCGTTGGTAAAAGAGTAGCCCAAGAGTTGGCAGTGGGTGGGGATGACTAGCTGCGTTCCCTCTAGTCTTTCACTGCTAAATTAGGGACGGCTAGCGCAGATAGCCCCCGTGTAGCTTTGCGCAAAATTCAAAACAAACGCAAAGTGCGGAGCGCATTCTCGCAGCAGTAGTACGCGAAGTGTCATGTTTGCAGTCCGAACCAATAGGAACATGTTTTTGTAGCAATATTTTTGCCGAAACATCTTACTTCACTAGAAAGATTGAATAAAGTGTTATGTATTTTAGAAAACACATATTACCGCAAGTTCATTTCCTTTTTCACGATGTTTTGAACATGTATCAATATTTATAACGTGTTTGTGTATGTGTGTTTTTCTTATAACAAAGCCACATCGGGCTATCTGCTGTGTCCATCCAGGGGAATCGAACCACTAATTTTAGCGGGGGACAATTTTAGTAAAGGCCTTTCTAAACACACGCAGTTTTTTTTCAAGAAAATTTAATTTTACTACTCTGAAATAGTAATTTGAAAATCTAAGTAAAATGTTTTTTCAATGGAAAAGTATATTCAAAGAGTTTTGGAAAAACATTAGATTTAAAAGTTTGTTTGTTTGTAATTAAGCATAAAGCTACACAATGGTCTATCTGTGCTCTGCCCACCACGGGTTAATACTCATTAAATAAAAAAATAACATTATAAGCAACATGTGTAAACGTAGCCGCCAAGTTTAAGTGTTTTTATTTTTTTTATTTTTTAAATGAGTGCTATTTCTTAAAAACGCAATCGAAGAATAGACGATAGAAAAATAAATTCAAGACATCACTAGTGAACCGTGCTTAACTACTTCTGAACTGTGCCTTTTATAGTTCGTGTATTAAAGGTTGCGTAATCTATTAAACACGTTTCTTCAACAGCATAAACTCGCCAATACCACTAGTTTATTTAAGCAAATATTTGGTATGGCTACCGAACTTCTTGTCCCTGTCTGCTCTGCTACTTGTTAACTCGCGAAGGAATGAGGCACTCTGGTGGCAACAGATTTATGGCGCGAGACATGACGGGAAGGCACTTTACTAGAGGAACACGCTACTCTGGCAGTTCAGATAGGATCCGCCGTTAGTGAAGCGTGGGTCGTGTATTCAGCACCTTAGTAGCTATTCATGATTTAAAACTATAACAATGAGAACAGTTCAAACTAAATTTAGTATACTCGTATGGTCTGTCATATTACTATCGGTAATTGGCGTAGGTACCGAAATCGTCGGAGCTGATCCCACTTCTCACCGATATTTTCCTAACAGCTACACGGGGCAATGCCATCGAGAACCCGCTGGTGTTACAAACCAGAAAACACCCGGAGATAATGGTTTCGAAATCAAGATATCAGGAGATCCTAAAAAATATGTAGCTGAAAAAGTTTATACGGGTAAGAAATTATTCTTCGTAAATTGTCTTGTTACATGTTTTCAACAGTTTGACCTAACGCATAAAAGTTACCCTTTTAGCTAGCTACCACACTCTCTAAGAATGTTACTTTTGCTTGGCTAGAATGTGTCAGTAATACTGTGTAAATCAACACAAATTCTGTTACTTACAAGTAGTCGTAATCTAATGACCAATACAGTTGATTATCTAGAACTAAATGCCGAGTGTGCTGCCTGCATGATTATACATGTTAATATTAGACTATTTGAAGAGTCAACCTGTGACAAGTATCAGCCAACTGTTGTGTCCATTGACTATCACAAGTCTAGTACTGCCTAGTTAATATATTATCAGCACTATCAAACATGTAGTTTTCATTGTCCTACATATGTACTTAGATATCAAGAACTAGTTGCTATTACTAATTTCCACCAGATATGGTCTCTCCCCCTTTAACATTTTTACTCTCCAATAGATTCGATCACTCATCTGTAAAAGCTGTTACAATGTTTACTCTCCACCACGTGTGATCTGTCTTCTTTAGCATACCGTACTTTTTAATACTCACCACTATAATTTCCAGTATTCACCACGTGTGATGACTTCTGTCAAATAGGGGCTAGAGTTTCCAGTATTCACCACGTGTGATGACTTCTGTCTAGTAGGGGCTATAGTTTCCAGTATTCACCACGTGTGATGACTTTTGTCTAACAAGGGCTATAGTTTCCAGTATTCACCACGTGGGATGACTTCTATCTAATAGGGGCTATAGTTTCCAGTATTCATCACGTGTGATGACTTCTGTCTAATAGGGGCTATAGTTTCCAGTATTCATCACGTGTGATGACTTCTGTCTAATAGGGGCTATAGTTTCCAGTATTCATCACGTGTGATGTCTTCTGTCTAATAGGGGCTATAGTTTCCAGTATTCGCCACGTGTGATATTTCCTCTTTAATCGATTGTAATTTTTAATGTTCAACGCGTGACATCACTCCTATTTAGCAAACTATAGTTACTACTGCCCACCACGTGTGATCACTTCTGTGTAACAGCTTGTAGTTTCAATTTTCCTGTGTGGTTACTCCTGTTTAACATGTTTTAGCTTTACATTTATTTCGAGTGTGACTACATTATTAATTCATTGAAGATATAACCTAAAAGATATAACCAGTTAGTCCACCTATTTGTATAATGTCTATAGCATTACCTACAAATATTGATAACTATCCTTTCCCACTGCTTCTCGTGTTCTTTCTAACTGATTATAATGTCCAAGAATCGCCTCCTATGATTTATCTGTACGAGCTTGACGTCTTGATTTGAATATTCTTCTGACCTGCCAGTAAAAATAAATAGTCGTTAAAGTCTACAAAATTACCCTACTTCCGTCATATATCATCTCCAAGAACACAATGTATACTGTATATTCTAATTCTCAGGTAATAGTTAAATAATCATAATTTTTATTTTCAATTACCACTTTACCTGGTGAGTACTGACTGTTAAGTGTCGTAGAATAACAATGTAGTGTGGTTCCTCCTGGCAATGTTTAAATTTATTCTGTTCATTATTTTATAAAAACCTGGCTGTATACTATTTCATTCATATTGTTGCATTAAATACTACCCGTCAAAAGTTATTAAGTAACTGATCGTTCTAAAAATTAGATTTTTTTTTTCATTTTGCAATGATAGTTTTGTATGTACTACATTACTGCCCCTGAAGAAGAAAGGTCCACCTTTCGAGAGCGCTCAGATTATAGAGTTTTTATCATGCTGTAAAAGTAAGATAGTGATGGTATTTTTATCTTTTCGATAAAGAAAGGTTGGTGTTAACAGCTTTTGTTTATCCGTTTTATAAGCAGTATTTTAAAACTTGAAAGTTGTAGCTTAAACCTTAGGTTACTTATAATAGAAGACATGTAATTTGGGGTAAATGATTTTCACATTAACCTTCAAAACTGGCTTAATGAACAATTATGGGTAGAACATTGTAAGAGAAGTGACTTTATTAACCACCTCGTACTCGGGTGGCTTTGGCAACTTGCACTGTCATGTTACAGCCAAGTGTCATTAACAAAAGGAGTGTTTTAGTTAGTACATCAATTGTTCATTTACCTGTTTTTGGAAAACATAAGTATTTCATTAGCTTCAACTTTCGTGATTCACACTAGATGGCGATAAGCACAATAAGTGTTAAAGCGAACGGCTGTTGGTTTTGCTAAGAATTATGGATATTTTGTGTATCTATTAGCATCTAAAAAGAAAATGAGGTTTTGTGCACATAATCTAATACGAGGAACGAAGAAGATTTGCAAAAAGCGTTATGATTAATGTATACAGTTTTACTTTCGACATACTTTTGATGTGTGAATTGTATATACACTGAGTGGTCACAAGTAAATAAATAGACACCTAATTTTTCGTCATTTAACTAATTTATGCTAACTAATTTGTGTTCACAGAGCACTATATAAATGAAAATGGTCCGCACACTAATTATATTGTGCTACAACATGCCTAGAACTTCAGGTTCTCTCGAATTGTCAGATTTTGTTAGTAGGAAGGATCAAGCAGATGGTGAAATAAGTCAGCGGCAAATTTCGCAGAA